TGCGTGCCACCCATTGGTTTACTGATTAAGTCAGCTTGTGCTTCTAATGATTCTCATTGCTAGTTGTCTCCTTGAAGCTTTCATTTTTGACCATGGTTATCTGTCTGATATTCTGTAACATCTTATTGTAATTGTGCTCCTCTTTGTGAAGTGTCATGGGCATTGGGTTTTCTTTTAGAAGTGAAATGATGAGGCAAAAGGGTGATAACACTTTTTGGAAGTGGTTACTAGGTCCATGTAGATGGAAGCAGGGGATCAAAACCAATCCGGAACTGCAGTATTGCACAAGTGAGTGAGAATGTGTCACTTGGGTTTGAGCGAGGGAATTGGAATCCAAGAGGGAGGAGAGCAATCTGAAGACTACGCCTATTAGTCACCAGAGCTTTTCTATAGTTTAGTTGATTCAGAAGCCATTCTCTGACCAAGCCAAAATGTAGGGGTGATGCAGTATGGGATAGGATGAAGGGCTGGTACTCAGACTCATTAAGAAAAGAATGTTCTTTTCAACTGTTCCGGTTGAGAAGGATTGGAGGAATTGGTCATTAACATGGAACTGGAAGGGAGGGGAAGGCAGTAACCAAACTTCAGGCATCAGAAAGCTGAGGACTGCTGCTGCAGGGTGTGCTTTCAAACCGAAGAGAGCGATTAGGTTTGGGCATTAAGCTAGGCAGAATACAGCAAGCACAGTTTGCAATGGAGAATAGAGAGAGTACAAGACGAGGCCATGAAACTCAGAAGATCACTGAGAATGGGCCCCTTGTAAAGCTGTAAACCTAAATAACCACCACAATGGGGCAGTAGAAATGGAGTACTTAATGTGGACAACAGTAGAAGGGAGCAGAGGCAGAGCATGGAGCAGTAAGAGTTTGCCTATCAGGGAACACAGCATAAGCAGTGTGCAAACAATCTGAGATTGAGGGGTGAGTTGGAACTGTCAGACAGACGAAAAAACAACTGAAAATGCATTTCCAGTGATCTGGTTGATCCATAGTGCCATATGGTTTTCACAGATAAAATAACTACATTAAAAGCTCACAACAACATTACAGTCAAGTAAATTGACAGGCAAGCATCTTGGTCAAATATTTGTTGCTGACAAATCTCAGGCATTTCTTAGTGATTTAGCAGATATCCCATGTTTTAACAATAATTTTATTAAAATATGATGGGCAGGGCATATATGTGATACTTTACATGATGTATATATTATTAATATGCCTAATTAAAATAAGTGGGTTAGAAATTGCATCAGGGAGCTCTGACAGTTAGTTAGATGTTAGTGTGACCTGACTTTGGAGTGATCATGCTTTTAACATGCTCATGAGAGAAAGCTTCATGGCAGAAAATATCATTTCGATGTTATTATTTATTTTTCCAGCTGGGTGGCTATTAAACTTGAAGCCAAGCATTACTTTGCAACATGTTATATAACCATTTGTTAAATGCATACTTTGTTTTTTGATTATAATTTATCTTCTAACGTGTTTAAGATTTTCCTATATCCTTCCAAATTATCTCAGTGAGTTTGGCAACATCGAAGACTAGTTATCAACATCTCAGCTTTTTCTTTACCCCACATTGAGTAACATAAAGACAACCTTGGCATCCTAAGATATTCTCAGCAGCCTTCCTAGTTTAATGCGTGCTTTAAAGATGGCTTACTACTTTGCATTGGCATTGACGTCTTGATCTCTGCACTATGCTTGAAAGGAAGTGCTGCCAAGTGTCCCACAGAGAAGGGCAAATCTGAGTGTCCCTAAGTTTACTTTGAGCACATTATAGCATTCAGTACAAATCTGTAATGCTGGGGCCATGAGACTTGATTATCTTACTAATTTTAATATTAAGTACCTGGTCCAGGAGACATTCCCATAAATATTTTTTTTAATGTAGAGCAGTAATTATTCAAGTTCTTCTATTATTAAGTGGTATAAATTTGAGTGTGTAATGGAGAAAATATCATTTTTTGATTGGATTTAGCATGCTGAATGAGTTATAATCAAGTTTGAGATAAAGGAATTCCATCTGCCTGGCTTAAAAGTAATCTCCCTGTTTCTAATTTGAGGTGCAGACAGTGATTGGGTTCTGCAGGTGACTTTCACAATATCAAATACATGCTATTTTACTCAGTAAAGACTGTTACACACATCCTTGACAATTAGCAGCTGGGTCGTACTTACTGAACATAGGGGCAGGAGTAGCCCATTCATCCCCCGGAGCTGCTCTGCTATTGTAGGTCATGGCTGATATCTACTTCAGTGCTATTCTTACACACTATCCCCATATCCGTTGCTGTAGTTAGTTTGTTGAAATCTATTGACCTGCGTCTTGGACAAATTCAATGACAGCCTTCACAGCTGTCTAAGGTGGAGAGTTCTAAAGATTTCCCAGCCTCTGAAGAAAATACTTCACCGCATCTGAGTCCTAAATGACTTGCCCAATTCTGAGATGGTGTCCTCTGGTTCTAAACCCTGCCCCTGCTCAAGCCGGAGGAAACGCTCTTTCTGCACGTATCCTTTAAGAATTTTGCATATTTCAATGAGAGAGCCTGTCATTTGTCTGAACTGTCGAGAATATAGTCTCCTCCATATCTTCTCACTGTTCAATCCCACATCACAGTAGTTGTTCAGGTGAGTCTCCACTCTGCACACTCTATAAAAGGTATAAGCTACCTTAGGCAAGGAGACCAGAACTGAACACAGTAGTCTAAATGCAGTCTCACCAAGATTGTACACCAATCAGGAATGTTTATTTTGTGCTTCACCAGTGATAATTATTTCTGTCTGATGTTGCAATTGCTCCTTCATCCTGAAGAATAAGGAATTTGGAGAGGTTGGTGGAAAGAGGTTATATCTGGCCATCGTTGTTTTGTTGCTTTGAGATTCAGTTGGAACTGTTGTTGTGGAAGATTAACTACTAATTAATATATTCTCTTTCTTTCCCATTGACATACTTCTGTTAATTTCTTGTTAAATGTTTTGCTGCTGAATTGATCAAAATAGTTCTCCACCGAGTATTGTCAAATCTTAACCAAGAAGGAAACCCTGACATCAGCAAGTTCAATAATTCACCTTCTGCACTGCTGACCAGGTGTCCAACTTGCTGTCTCTATTTGGGGCTGTATCAGGTCCAGGCCATCCATCTATCCAGAAATCCTAAGCTACTAATATCAAATATCAAAACAATGCATCAACTATGTTCAAAGCATTCAATCTTGAAACAATGTGGACTGTAGCTGATAGCCAGAGGGATTTACTTTGATAAGTCAGCTATTCTGCCATAATTTGATGTTCCATACAGAAATGCACCTGTTTAAACATATAGGGCAAGCCATATCACTGGTTTATTCAAAAGTACCTCCAGGTATTTATTTATGATTACTTGAAATGTTTGTGCAGAGAGAAACAAGTTTTTTTTTAAAATAATTGATAAAATTGAAGAAGTTAAGACACAAGAAAGATCCAAGAACAGATTTAAACTAGGGAATAATATTAATCATATCTGAATCCAGCTTATGCTTATCTTTGAAGAATTGTATACAGCTTTTTGATACTTGAATTGTTTATATCTCATGATAAATGAATGTGATAATTACTGATGCGTCTTGAGATGAGCACTCATTTTAAATGTTGACAATGAGCGTTCTACAGGTGCAATTAAAACAAAATGTATTTTCAACTATAGTGTTCAAAACAGTGTAATTTTAAGCTGTTAACAGTAATAGTCATTGTTTACCTATGGAGTGGTAATTTTGGTTTCAGTGCAGCTGTTGTTGATTTATTTTGACCATCCCTGTTGGCAATCATCTTGGGGCAGATTTCAGTTCAGATCTCATCAAGCTGCTCTTCGGCAGCATGTAGCAATTGTTTTCAGGCTAATCTCAGTACCATCAAAGACACCGTAAAATCACGTCTGACATGTTAGAAATTGAATCATTAGCAATTTTTTTTATAAAAAGTAGATTTCAATGATTTCCTTTGATATGAGAGTCTGGATATCGCATTGACGATCTTAGAAACAAAACTGCAAAAAAAAATTCATGCAATGAAATTTATCAGATGATCTGCTTAGAGACCTGTCTTATTCACACTCCAGCTGACTGATTGGAGATGGAAAGATGGGCATTTCCTTTCTGAACGGAGCCACTGATCCTTGCCTTTATCCTCAGCCTGGTCAAGATCAGACATTAACTCTGTAAATATTGCTTGCTGCTCTATGCTAAAGAATTCATGAGCTCCACTGTTTAGTCACATCTAGCTAATTATGATCTTTGCTGACTAAATGCAGTAAAAAGAGTCTAAAATTGTCAGAATTTGACCATTTAGAAAATTAAATTCCTTCTCAACTTGACAAAATGGAATATGTTGTCAATCTTATATTTTGGCTTTTTGTTTCATACTGTCATGGTCTAAGGTATGTGCAGCATTCCTAAAAGTTAACAAGCCATGCTTGTCTTGTTGTGGAAGTAAAGGCAATACATGCTGGCTACAACTAGCGGCATTCTTCAGCTTTACAGAGCTAAAGTTGACTGCCAGATCCACTTTAATGTCAGTTTGGAACACCACAATCTTTAGCATAGATTGCAGTCTAGGCCTGGAGCAACTTAAAAGAGAAGTGGCATTTATCTGAACAGGACAAATCAGTCTAACGTGAAAGGATTTGCCTGCTAGATTAGCCGAAAAATAAACGTTGGAACTGTGCCTCAGCCATAACAAAAATCCTAATTGGTTTTGACATTTTATTTTAATTTCTTAGTGCAGATATCTGCGATGCTTCTGAAAACCAAAAAAGACTATGCCGGTGGCTTTGCGTGCTATTTGAAATGAATTAATCTGTTACAATGCAAATAATCAGTAAGAGAGTGTCGCTACTGATCAGTTTTAGTCTTTCTTGTTTATTTTGCTGTACAGTTCATTACTTTTAATGTCACTTTTAAATTAAAGCCTTATTTTAAAATTCAAGGTTCAAAGTCAATGATCCTAATTCACTGTTTCTTTCAGATATGGATGACTTTAAATTTGACCCCTTTGGTAACTTCAGTAATGGTTCTGCAGTGAGCAGTCTAACCAGTTATGATTGGTCTGAGAAAGATGATTTTGGCACCCAGATGAAGAAGCAGCCGCTGTTCTTGCTCAACTCTGAAGGCAGCTCCTTGTCCTCCACCTCAGTGCTTCAGAAGAAAGAGACCTCTTTCGGCAGCTCCGAGAACATCACTATGACAACTGTCTCCACGGTAACAACATTCTCAGCCGATGATGCAAGTTCGCAGCACAACTTTGATGCTTTTGGAGACCTCAAAGAATCTGCAGAACAGACTGAAGAGAAAAAAGGAGGTGGCAGTGATTTGGGGGACTTTGCAGTTACTTCATCCAGGGAGGGACAAACAACTAAGCCTAATGAATCAAACCTGGATGAAGCAGAGCAAAGGACTGCAGTCTCAGTCACAAATGGGGTATCTTCTGAGGGGACAAAAACTGAAGTCTTTGATGAATTTGGAGAATTCCAAAGCGAAAAGCCTAAAATTAGTAAATTTGATTTTCTTGTGGCTAGTTCCCAGGGCAAGGTGAAGTCCAGTGAGGAGATGATCAAGAGTGAGATGGAAACCTTTGACCTTTCAGTGCAAGGTACGTATGGACAGCATGTACTCTGTATTTATTGTTTATTACCACTTTTGATTACTTAGCCTCAAGGTTGGCTATTGCAATAAGCTGTTGTTGCTGAAACAATATTTGGGGGTTACAGTGAAAATGGTTATGTTTATAATAACCAAAAGCAAATTTAAAAACAATAGTTATAATTCTATTCACAAAGAGCAAAATGAGAAAAGAATGTAAGTCAGCAAGGACATGGGTGCAAAATCAGCCAAACTTGAATATAGTATCCAAAATGAGCAACAGAGTTTTTGATGAACTGAAGTATACAGAGGACAGATTGTTGATGGGCAATATTATGGGAATGGAGTTTGTGATGGAGGGGTTGAAAACATATGAATAAGGAGCAGAAGTGGGCCTCAGCCCCTCAAACCAGCTCTACCATTCAATAAGATCATGGCAGATCTGATTACTTCACATACCACTGTATGGGATTCATTCCCTGTATACAGGATTGGAAGCTCCATTTGATGCTCCAATGAGATTGCAAGTATTAATGCTTCAACTGAAGACAGAGGAGTCATTGATCTGTCCAGTTCAGTTAAAGTTTTTTGTCTTGTGTTTTAGCTAGAACACGCTCTGTATGCATCACAAATCTCAACAGTCTATTGAAATCCAACAATTTTTTATATATTTCCAATGACCATTTTAAAATTTTCAGTAAAAGCCATTCCTCAAGTAAAATGTTTTTGTCTTCTAAATCTTCTCTAAAGAGAATGCTTGCTCTTCAGACTTTTGACACAGCTAAGTGAATAGGTTAGTCTGTGCAAAATATTAGTACTTTCGGAAGAGATAAATAGTCAAATGGTGGCTGAAATCTCAGGAAAATTTTGATCTACATTGCAGTACAGCAGTTGTGTTGTAATCTCAAATTAACTGGTAGGTTTTTAAATTCCAGGTTGCTTAATTGTGATGATATAGACATTAGTGCTGAATTATTAAAATGCCGTTAAATGCTGAACCTTGTTAAACACCAGTTGTTGAAAGGTTGGTTAGGGTCCAGGCATACAGTTTTAAAGCTAGTTTTTTAGGAATTTTCAAATTGGCCTGTTCAGGGATGTTATTATGCAGTGCTGAAACAGGTGGGACTTGAACACAAGCTGCAGGGCTCAGAGGTAGGGACACCACCACTGCACCACAAAAGCACTAAAAGTTTTATTTCAAATTACAAATGACAAAACTGTAATGTATGTCTAGATCCAATTCTTACCCAATTTTTTTTTCTCCCTCCTGTTTTTCATATTTGACAATCAACCTGTCCAGTCTATTATGCAAGGTGAGACTTGAACCTGGGTTTTCTGGCTCAGAGGTTGAGACACTACCACTGTAACCACAGACCCCCTTTCCTACCCAGTTATTTATTGATTAGCAGGTAACCATCACCATTTGGTATCTCACCCCTGTCAGACTCTACTGGATGATAATGAACCTTTCATCCTGAGGAGGGAGGAATTTGTATTAAATTAGTCATTGAACCGTCTATTGTGAGAAGTGGTCTTTTC